CATGTAGAGGACCTCCTTCGAGGTGAGGGTACAACACCGACCTTGAACGGACTATCAGAACGGCAAAATTGATTACTCTACTATGTACGGAACACCCAGAAGAATGGAGGCATGAAACTTCCGTACGCGATTCCAGTAACACTATACTATGGCACCGTATTCCAGAAACATCGATGGTCTATCAAACAAGTACACGGACAATCTCTTCGAATATGCAGCGCGACCCTTCTGTACTCAAGCACTGCCCAGATGTGGATCCAAGTATGACTTTAGGATCATCATGAAGGCTCCCCATTCTCCTACAAGTTCCTATTTTACCTTTTCAGGTACCTATTTTGTGACCTTTCCCATGGCCAACCACGTTGTGCAGCTAAAGTGAGAATAGGAGGCACATGTACTGGCTTTGTCAGCGGAGAGAATCCATGCTACAATGGTGCTTGTATGGGAGGACGATGTGTAGCTGCGGTAGGCTCTTATGCTCTTCCATATCCCGAAGGTTACAGTTTTAGGTTTCGCCCAAATGAATAACTTGAGAGCGGGGGTGGGGATTTGAAGGACTCCCTGTGCAAAACCGGGATTCCCGCGAAGAACGCTTTTATCTAACTATAGGTAAGCATTAAGGGCGGTCCATTTCCGCACATTGAGTCCATCGAATGTCCTCCCCCAAAGTTATTAGTACATCGGTTTCTTCTGAAAGTTGAAACATGGATAAAAGAGAATATTCAGGAAGGAATTCTACCAACACCGCCACCACGTCCCATTACAACGTTGGCTCCAGTTGTTGTTGCTCCACAGGTAATTCTTTCCAAGGCTACTCAAGAATAACATGAATAACATAGTAAATGGTGGCATAAGTGACAGTCTGAAGGCACTGTGATGGTTAGGGGTGGGCGGTTGCTCTAAATGTCATTAGTGGAAGGGCTGCGAGAGATTGGTTATATACCACTGCCCCCTTTCACTGGTACGTTGGCAACAACCGCCCACCCAAGCCATCGTGCCCGCCTTCGGTATTGGCTGGCTAGGTTTTGAAGTGACGACGCCTGCTCTCTGTGCTGCCATCAAATAAACCCTTCAGCACTGACTTTAGTGACGAGAGAGGCTTTTCGTTCTCAACCAGTTGGAAATTGGGGTTCACAGGAACC